AAATATATAAAATATATTTAATATTTATTTTAATTAATATTTTATATATTTTTAAAATAATAAAAAATTATAAAAACTAAAACTAAAACCAAAACAATAAATGACGTTTCGGAAACCTAAAATTGAGCTATGGTGAGCTCCTATCTCGGGCTCTAAAAAATTAAAAATTAAGAGAAGCATCTCAAGTCTTTAAAGAAAAAGATTGTTAGAGGTACTACCTTCAGTATAATTAAAATGAAAAAAGTACCCAACAGAAGTGCCCTACCAGGAACAAGCGGACCGTTCAGTTTACTTGACAAATAATGAGCGCACCTTAAAATCACCTTCAGTATATCATTTTTTCCTTTAAATGAGTGCACTTTAAAATCTCCTATAAAGAAATATTACGTAACTGTCCAAACGAAAAAAGCAAAAAATAAAAAAATAAAAAAAAACCTCTACAAATCCATTTCTGTTCCGCCACTAATTCCAATTGTACTTGAATTTTTGCTATTATTAGTATTTACTTAACAAAAATTTTAATAATTCACAACTATTACTTTTAAAAAGTAGGGTTTTATCTTGTCCCTGAATATCATTATACCTATATTAGCAACTTAAAGATTTTAATTTAGACTTAAAATTAAAAATTTAAATATTTGTCATATTAAATAGTTAACCTTTAATATAAAAAAATTAAAAACTCCGAATAAGATAATTAGGGAAAAAAATTAGTGAACAACTTTAATGGGGCAGCTCACCACTCTTGTAAGATACTAGGGGACCAGATTGTTTATAAGAATGCAGTTATTATTATCCTAAAAAATGGTTAAAATGACTTTTTCTTTTTATTTTTTAAAATAATATTTAAAAATATTAATTTATATATTAATTTTAATTTATTAAATATTAAATATTAAATATTAATTATATTTTTATTAATTAAATTAAATAAAAATAAGTACTTTTAAAAAGAATATTTTCAAATTTTTTGATAATTTTAATATTTTAATTGGTGTTCATACCCCATGCCTAGTTTGCGGTGCTCTAAATAACCATTTGATAAAAAAATTAGAAGAGGAAAAAAATTATGAAACAAGAAATCAAAAGAAATTATTATAAAAAAAAATCTAAAGAAACTTAGTGTTCATATTCGCTCTGAAAGAATCTATTAATTCAAGCTCTGGGTAGTTTGATGGCGTAGAATTTTCTTTTCTAAACAACGGGACTGTAGGAGTGAAGGAAAATACAAACAAAAATATAGAGAGAATTAAGAACACAAAGACGGGCTAGAGAGAAACGAACACCCAGATCTGCCTACCTTGAATTATTTTAGGCTCTGATGCCGTGGCTGACAACACCAAGACAGTAAACTTAACAAATTTTTTCTTGCTTTTCTTTCTTCCGATGGCCGCTCCTCTAATAGATCTTACAGAAAGTAGAAACAAGAAGTAGAAGAGATAGAATGAGACGAACCAGATCTAAGGAAAAAGGTACAAAAGAAAATAAAGAGAGGTGAAAAGAGACGAGGAAATGTTAGATCTAAAACTAAAACGAACAAAAAGTCAAAAACAGGCAGAAGCTGAACTTCAGCCCTTGTACTTTTAATGTTATGGCATGTTGGCCCTTATACTTTAAAATAGTGCAAAGTCACCCCCTCTACTACTCAAGCTCCGTAGATGAGCCCTTTCAATAATGATGACGTTATTTTTCTATTGAATCGTCTATTGCCCCGTCAAGAATGGATGAGTAGGTGATGCGTTGGACAAAATAAGCCCTTTTAATAGTGATGATGTTATATACATCAAAGAAATCCATATGTACATTGATCCATCATGCACAGAAGTTAGGGCTCACCTTGTGCAGGTGCAGGTACACCTAAGATAGCTTCATCTTCTCCAAATCACAACCTTTCCCTTACACCAATTTTCAAGGAAAAAGTTATTTACATCAAAGAAAATCTCCTTACCCAGCTTTGCTTCCATAAAGCCAACATCATACTGTTGAAGCTTCTATAACATTCATGGCACATCTTCTTTGATGGGGATGAAACCCACTATGTACCCATCTAATGTTCTGTACATTGTAGAGGTTTGTGTGACCAAGCTTGATTGGTTTCTCACCTAGAACTTCTGATAACTTGAGGATAGGAAGAATGATGATTCCATGAGAAAGGAAATGGCCCAAATCATAGACATGGACAATATAAATTTGAGCTTAATCATTTGCGATTTTACTTCAACCCATGCAGATACTCCATGAACAACATTAATGGCAATCTACTCCCTGATTCTTGTGAACTCTAATAAAAAAGGAGAGAAAGTAAAAGAAGTGTATCAAATACTTTTAATCACATGAAGATGGATGGAATTGAGAATGAGAAGAAGAGTTTCAATTGAGATATAGCAACTGAAATTAGAAACCTTAAATCTCAATTAAATCTAATGTAAGAGTTTTTAATAAATCACTCCATTGTAATGTGAGCATTTCTTAGTCGCGTTATTTTGTCCAACTCATTGCTTGGTCATCCAATCTTAACAAGGCAATGGATGGTTTAACCAAAAAAATGGCATCATTGTTATTAAAAGGGCTCATTTGTGGAGTTGGAGCAGTAGAGGGGGCAATTTGCACTAGTTTAAAGTAAGGAGCTGCCATACCACAATATTGAAAGTATAAGGGCTAAATTGCATCACCTTCAAAAATAAACAAAAGATAAGGGAAAACGGGTGGCCTATATTTGGTCAAGGTTCGACGTTCGAAGGCCCCTGGGCCATGGCCCATGACCCAAATTCCCCCTCCTCAATTCCCCCAAAAATGCACTAGTAGTTAAAGGGTCTTTTAATGCGTTTGTTGTACTATTTTGTAATCAAGTTTTAGCGAAATATAAAAAATATATATATTATTATAAAATAAAAGAAAAAAGTAGCAAGATAACAAACAAAAGTAATCTTTTATTTCACCATGTATTTTTTTATGTACAACTTGTGGGTTTATATACACAGTAAGGGACATATAAGGCTTACATTAGCCATTGAATATGGTTAAATGAGAGAATGAATGGTACGTTAGTGGAGCCATGAATGACACTTCAATGAACCTTTGAATGGCTTTTAGTGGAATCATGAATGAATCCTTAATGATGAAGAGTTATAACATAAAAGAGGGTGAATGTGAAGGTGAAGCATCCACCAATAGGATAAATTCACAATACTCCCCCTTATATGCTCACCTTTGTTGTGTCATATGCTTTTAAACTACCTCATTACTAGAAAAAAACCTAGTGGGATAAAAACCGTTGTGAAGGAAAAAAAAGTGCAGTACATATAATACTCTCCCTCACTTCAACGAGGCTCTTTTAAGGCGTTACATGCTTATTTTGTGTACAAATTGCTCAAAAACTTTGGTAAGTAATGACTTTTTGAAAAGATCTATAAGATTCTCATTTGAACTGATTTGCTGAACATCTATTTTATTAGCATTTTCAAATTCATGTGTAGAGAAAAGCTTTGGAGAAATATGTTTGGTTTTATCTCCTTTGATGAATCGTTCCTTTATTTGTGCAATGTATGTAGTATCATCCTCATATAATAAAGTCAAATTTCCTATAATTGCTTTAAGACCACATGTTCTTTAAACATATTGGATAAAAGATTTTAACCTCATATAGGGCAATCAATTTTGAGTGATTTGAGGATGTGGCTACAATGGTTTGTTTGGTTGAACACTAAGAAATTATGGTACCACTATATGTGAACAAATGCCTGGTTTTTTATCTCCCTTTATATGGATCAAACAAATATCTAGCATTTGCAAATCCATTAACTTTGGTTTTAAATGTTTTGAATAAAACAGTCCCATGTCTTTTGCTCCTTGAAGCTAACGAAATAAATGTTTAATGTCATTTCAATGTCTTTTTGTTGGTGCAAAACTATATCTTGTTAACAAATTAATAGAAAACGCGATACTAGGTTGCATATTGTTAACTAAATATGTTCATGCACCAATGGTACTTAAATATGGTACTTTAGGATCAAGGATTTCTTTGTTATCTTCACGAGATCGAAAATGATCTTTCTTTACATCAAGGGATTAAACAACCATTAAACAGCTCAAAGGATGAGATTTGTCCATATTAAATCTCATCAATATCTTCTTAACATAATTTAGTTGATGGACAAAAATTTTCATTTTATAAGTGCTTGATTTATAAACTAAGACAAAATTATGTTACTCTAAGATCTTTCATCCCAAATTCTTTCTTTAAACATTCAACTGCCTTTTCAAGCTCTCCAAGTGTTCCAATGATATTTATATCATCAACATAAAAAACAATGATAGCAAAAACTAGGTTTAGACCTCTTAGTAAAAATACATGAGCTAATATGATTATTTTCATATCCTTTCTTTAGGAAATATTCACTTACACAATTGTACCACATTTGTCCTAATTGTTTCAAATTATACAAATATCATCTTAATTTTATTAAAAATATCTCTTTTGGCATTAAGTTGTATGCTTCAAGCATTTTAAGTCTAACAAGAACTTTTATATAGATGTCACTGTTAAGTGATTCATATAAGTAAGCAGTTACAACATCCATGAGGCACATTTGAAGGCCTTTAGAAATTGCTAAACTTATTAGAAACCTGAACGTAATTGCATCTATCATAGGAGAATATGTTTCCTCATAATCACTACCAAGTATTTGTGTAAAACCTTGAGTTATAAGTCTAACTTTGTATCTCACAACTTCCTTTTTCTCATTTTATTTTCTTATGAACACCCATTCATAATCAATAGCTTTACATTATTGGGTGTTTGGACAATTAGTTCAAAAACTTGCCATTTTTCTAATGGCACTACTAGAAAAAAGCCATAATTTGATCAAGCATACTGACTGATCAAGGTTATATTTGGACTGAAGACCTAGTAATTCGATCAAGATGCTTGACCAGATTGTTGGTCTGAATATGCTCTGTATGAAACATAATTTCAGAAAGCATTTCATCTTGACCAAAATAAAAATTATTTTGGTTAAGATGCTTGATTCAAATAAAAATTATTTTGGTTAAGATGCTTAACCGAAACATGGGTTGAGTAAATCATTAAGGAACTCTTATATTCGCACAAATAATTTGATTAAAATATTTAAAAATTATTTTAATCAAATATTTTGGTTAATGATAATGACCGAAATAGTCATGAATATGACCGAAATATTCGGATGGTCATATTGATTGAAATAAAAAGATGGAAAATTGAAACATTTTTGGCAAAAAATTCAAAAGGTAAGGTGGGGGGCAAAAAAATTATGAAATTAATTCAGTTAGATATTTTGACTGAATTAAATGTAGTAGAAAATTTAAAAATTTCATCAATTTTCAATGCAAAGATCAAGGGGGAGGGGGTTTTTTTTTTTTAGAACCCTTATTTTGATCAATAGGCATGATAGAAATAATTGAAGTTTAAGTTTGGTCAATATTTTGACCGAATTAAAATCAAGTTTTTTTTTTTTTTTGTGATTTAGAATAATTTTTTGGTCAAAATATATTTGACCAAATTACGTAATATTCTAGTCAAACATTTTGACTGAAGTAAAATA